GGGAGGAGCTGTATGCGTCGAGCTTGCGCGAGGGTGAGGCTGGTCAGGACGCTGCGCCCTGGCTCGATGGGCGACCCAATTTCTTCGGGCAGGGCAGGGGCCGCGTCTCGGCGCTTGTCTGCGCCGCCGGGGAGAGCTGGGTGGCGAAGATGCTCCGAGAGGGATGCGCCATCCTCAAGGAGCGCAAGAAGGGGCGAGAGGAAAGGCTGCTGGAGCGCGGCGCCGAGCGCGGTGCGGCCTCTGGCGAACCAGCGGCGGGTGCCAAGGCCAAGGCATACGGCCGCGGGCGCGGCCGCGGCGCTTGAGGCGCCCCCTCGCGCCGAGGGTTCCCCCGACCTCGGCGCGAGTTTGCAGGGGGGGCGAGGCGCGCTGAACGGCGATGCCACCTCGCTGGGTTTTGGCGATGACGGTCTCGCGCAGAGAGACGCGCTGCCTATCCCGCTCAACTCGGAGGCGCTCCAGTGCTTGAAGGGGTTCTCCGCCCTTGACGACGAGCTCTCGCTGGGGCAGCGGCGCAAAGCCGCTCGCTGCAGGCGCCAGGAGCGCTGGATGCTGGAAGGCGTCGCGGCGCTCAACGAGCTGGGTGGTGGTGGGCGGTCGGCGGGCGGCAGCGGCCGCCTCAGCTTGGCGCAGCGCTCCGCGCTGCAGCATCTGAAAGGGGTCTACGCCGCGGCCCCGCCGAGGACTGAGGATTGCACCAACCAGGAGGCGTTTCAGGCGCTTCTGGGGCTTCGACCTGGCTATGCTGACGAGCCAGCGATCGGGGCGAGAGCCGGCTACCAGCGCGGGAGGGTTTCTTTTCCTTCTGGCGGTGCTGGGCGTGTCGATCTTGTTCGGTTGTTGCCCGCGCACCTGCAGTCTGCGCTGGAGTCCGGGCACGGGTTATTGCGCTCGGAGCAGGAGGCTACTGCTGCTCTGGAGGAGGCGGACGTCACGTGTTACGTGGACGGTAAGCTGGCGCAGCGGGGCATTGACTACGGGCGGTTCCTGCTCGAGCTCTACGATGCAGGGATCGTCGAAGTTTTGGGCTACGAGCTGGAACGGAAGGAGGAGACGGGTGTCTTTTTCGTGCCACGCAAAGATGACAAGCTGAGGCTCATCTTCGACACTAGGAGGGCGAACTGCCACTTCAGGACGCCCGAGTACACGCACTTGGCCTCCGGCGACGCCCTCAGCAGCTTGGAGTGCACGCCCGGTGAGGAGGTGCACCTGGCTGCGGGCGATGTGGAGGTCTGCTTCTACCAGTACGCGCTGCCGGCCTGGGCCAGGAACTACTTCTGCTTACCGAGCCTGGCGACCCGCATGCTGCCGGCTCGCCTGCGTGAGGCGTTGGGGCCAGGGCTGTCTGCTCGGCCCAGGATAGCCTTCCGCGCGCGGGTCGTCCCCATGGGATGGAACTGGGCCGTCCACTTTGTGCAGTCTGCCCACCTGAATGTGCTGGCTTCGGTCTCGCCGAGCAACCAGTGGCTGGTGGACAAGCAGCCTGGGGCGTGCCTCTCTGACAGCTCAGCCGCAGCCAAGGTCTTGTACATAGACAACTTTGCTGCCATTAGCACCAGCCGCGAGACAGCATTGCAGGTGGTCAACGACATGCTCGACTCGTTCACCAGTGAGGGCGTCAAGGCATCGCTTGACCTGGATGTCGTCCTCCTCGGCTTCACGCTGGACTCGAAGGCCGCCAGGTGGCGCCCCGCACCCAAGAAGTTTTGGAGAGTGCATGGTTGCATCTCGCACCTGCTGGAGCCGGGAAGACGTATCACGGGGCGCCAGCTGGAGAGGCTCGCGGGGCACGTGGTTGCGCTGCTGCTGCTGCGCCGTGAGGCGCTCAGCCTCCTCAGTGCAGTCTACGTCTTCATCCGCTCCACCTACGACAGGGCGCAGCCGCTGTGGCCCAGCTGCCGACGCGAGCTCAGGTGGGTGCTCGCACTGTTACCCACGGTGTTCGCCGATATGAAGAGGCCCTGGCACGCTGAGGCGGGTGCCTTCGACGCGTCGCCGTGGGGCGCGGGAGTCTGCACTGCGCACTGGCCCTTGAGCGCAGTGCAGGCCGCTGGCAGGCAGCCGGGGAAGCTGCGCTTTCGCGGGCCCCTCGCCTCACTGGTGGCCCCGCGGGACGCTGCCCTGGCCGCCGACAGCATCGAGCTCTCGGACCCAGCCGCACTCTTACTTGGGCGTGCGGCAGGTTTCGCCGAGGTGAGCTCTGAGCTGCTGCGTGAAGCGACTTGGGTCACGGCTGTTGCATGCAAGTGGAGGCGCCAAAGTACCATCCACAGGCTAGAAAGCTCAGCAGGGCTTCTCTGTCTGCGGCGCGCCTCTCGCAACTCGAGGTGTCACGGGCATCGCCTGCTGGGCTTGGGTGACAACCTGTCGATGATCTGCGCCCATGAAAAGGGTCGTGCGTCCGACTTTGGTCTCTTGTCTGGCTGCCGCTGTTCCTTTGCCATATCGGTCGCCTGCAACCTCAAGGTCACGTTCAGATGGATCCCCTCAGAGCTCAACCCTGCAGATGGCCCTTCGAGACGTTTCCAGTCTGGGACGGAGCCGTCTTGGCCCAAGCACAAAGACCAGTTCAGGCGTCACAACGGCAGTGGCCATGCAGGAGGTCCGCACGCTCCAGGCTGCTCCGCCGGTCGGCCAGCCGAGCCTGCCAGAGGGGGGAGGCGCTTCGCCGACCCGGAAGCGAGCCGCTGGTGGTGGCGGATCCGCAAGGAGCAGAGCGCAGCCACCGCCGCTTTCCGCCCCGGAACAGGCCCGCTGGCTGCCCCGCCAGGGCTTGCTGGCAGCCAACGTGGTGCAGCCATCCACGCAGGCGCTCTACCTGAAGGTGTTGCTGCTGCTGGCAGGGTGGCTCATGGTGGACGTGCTGCCCGACTGGCCCGTGGCAACTTGGGACGCAGCGCGGACCGACCTCCTGCGGCGGGCCTTCGACCTGGAAGTGGCGCGGGCGACAACTGCAAAGCTTGGCGTCGCGGTGCTTGGAGGTCTCCCTCAGCTGCACTTGGCGCCCTTGCAGAGGTGCTTCCCGCAGCTCGCCCACTCGCTGCCGTGTTGGAAGCGCCTGCACATGTCATTAGTGGTGCCGGTTACAGAGTTGCAGCAGCCAGGCAAGACAGGCGAGATGGACCACACCGTTGTGCGTGTCTCCCCGCGGCAGCAGGCCCTGGCTTGGGCCTTGGTGCGCCGCCGCGACCCCCGCCTGGGCTGCTGGCACCCGCTGTGGGACGTCGTCTACAGCCTCTTCCTGCGGCGCTTTGGCCAGGTGCTCGAGGCTGTGCGAGCCAGCTGTTTAGCAGGCGCGCTGTGCAGCCTCAGGCACGGCGGCGCCAACCTCGACCGCCTGACGGGCAACCGCACGCTAATGGAGAAGCTGCAGCTCGGAAGCTGGCACGCCTTCAACAGCGTGCAGCGCTACGACAAGCACGCGTGAGTGGCGATCGAAAAGATAACAATTCCAGCCCACCAGCGGCTGGAGAGCGAACATTTGGCCGCTGGATTCGACGCCGCCTGCAAGCAGTACTCTCTTCAGCTGCGATGAGTAGCATTTTCATTGACCTTTTCAGTGGCTCCGGCAACCTTGCGCGGCACTTGCGACAGGCTGGGCATGCTGTTATTGAGTGGGATGTCCTTCACGGGCAAGAGTTTGATCTTACCCAGCCTGCGCCTTGGGCCGTGCTTCGCGGCTGGATCGCCAGCGGCAAAGTCAAGGCCATTTTTATGGGCACGCCTTGCGAGTCGCTTTCGCAAGCGCGACGAGGCGCCCCCGCATCCCGCATGCCTCGACGCCTTCGTGACAGCGCACACATCTTTGGCCTGCCGGGCTTAGCTGCAGCCGATCAGGCCAAGCTTGAGCTTGGCAACCTGCTTGCCTCCCGCGCGGGGCAGATCTGGCAGCTAGCAGCAAAGTTTGGCATCCCTATCGGTGAAGAGAACCCTGGTAGCAGTTGGCTGTGGTATTTTCCTGACAGAGCACGTCGCCATCACTCTCCTTTTTTCTCTGAAGCAGTAGTTGATCAATGTGCTGCTGGTCGTCCCTTTCGTGCGCGCACTAGGCTCCAATTTCTGCATTGTCGCCCCTCTCCTTCTCTTCTGGCTATGAAGTGTCATGGCCGCGGCGTGTGTGATTTTTCAGGACAGCCCCATCTCGAGCTGTCTGGGAAGGAGAGCGGTGCCACCCACTTTCGCACTCAGCAAAAGTCCGCCTATCCCGACGCTCTCTGTAAGCAGCTTGCTCGAATGTTCTCGCAAACAATTGTCGCCAAGGTGGTTTCTAGAAAATGGATGTTGCTTCACGGCCAGGCCAGTGCAATGCTTGTTGATGGGTACTGTGCTTTGTTGTAGATGGGCCGTTGTCGCCTGCCAAAGCTGCCCTGTGCCAGGCTCCGTTCTTCAAGCAGATACTGGAAAAAAAGATGACGCATGTACGTTGTTGAACGAGTTTGCATCGCACAGTTCCGTTTCATACCTGCTCTATAGTCTTTCTGGCTCCCAAAGCCAGCCCGTCGCCTCCAAACGTCTTTACTGCCGCAGGCCGTTGTCGCCTGCCAAAGCTGCCCTGTGCCAGGCTCCGTTCCTCAAGCAGATACTGGAAATAAATGATGCAAACAGCTTTCCTAGCGACCCTCGAGGGTGGAGGACAACTTGGCAGCCCCTCCTCCCCCTCCCCCTCCCTCCGCTCCCTCATTTCCTGCCTGCTTTGACTCGGTCTGTGCTGCTGCTCCTCGTCCCCTTCCTCTTCCTCCTCGTCGGAAGGGGAGGGAGGCAGAGAGAGGCAGAGAAAGAGGATGAGCAAGAGGAGGAGGAGGAGGAGGAGGAGGAGGAGGAGGAGGAGGAGGAGGAGGAGGAGGAGGAGGCAGAGGAGGCAGGGGAGGAGGCAGAGGAGGAGGCAGAGGAGGAGGAAGAAGACCTCATCCTCCTCTTCCTCCTCCTCCTCCCGCTCCTTTCCTTCCTCCCGCTCCCTGCCCCCTGCTGCCGACGCTGCTCCGCCCTTCCGTTGCGCCGCTCCTGGCGGGGTGGGGGGGGGAGGACCCTGCGTTCGGGGGCGGGGGGGGGAGGTCGTGGCCTCGTCGGACATGGCGGAGCTGCTGCTCTTCGGGGCGGCGGGGTCGGTGCGGCCCGCGAAGGCCCGCGGGTCGGCCAGGTCGGGGGCTGCCACAAGGGTGCCCGCTGGCCCGAGGTGCCCCTAGCTTTGCGCTCCACTCTGGAGACCCATGGGTGCCCTCTGGGCCTCGCGAGGGGTGCGATGGAGGCCGTGGGGGCCTCATATTGGAGATCTTGGGGGTACCTCGGGCCAGGGGCACTTCTAGCAGCACCCGACAAGGGAAGAGGTGGCCGGGAGGGCTCGGGGCAGCACCCAGAGGAGGGAGGGGCACCGTGCCGCTGCCCACTCCTCGTCGGCACGATTGGATCGGTGCGGCCCGCGAATGCCCGCGGCTCAGCCCACTCCTTCTGACAGTGCATCACGGAGGCTTCCGCTCGTTTTGGATTGAACGTATAGCGCTCAATAGCGCCAAACAGCGGCCAGTAGCGCCAAATAGTGTTGAACAGCGCTGAAGAAGTGTTCACAGAGCGGCCAACAGCACAGCGACCAATAGCGCCCAGCAACGCCATGTGAGGGAGAGTCATTGTGTCCGCCGTGCGCGCGATTGGGCGCGTTATTGTGCGCCATGGCGACCACCAGAAGCCTCCGTGAGTTGCTTTCTGATCCTCCTCGCTCCCCTGGCCAGGGAGCAACGAGCAAAGGAGGTGGCCAGGAGGGCTCGAGAGGAGGGTGCCGATGCCGCTGCCCACTCCTCATCCCCCCGACGGGATTCGCCTCGCAACCCTGGTCGGAAAGCAACCCTGGAAAGGGCTGGGGGAGTAGGGGTATCGGTAGCTTTTGCCCTACCCCCCCCCCCAATGCTGATTGTTGTTTGTTGTTGTTTTTGTTCGCCCTCCCCGCCTCTGCTCCTCCTCCCCCTCCTCTACCCAGCTGCCATGCGGACCGGCGCAACGTCACTGCTATAGGCGTCGCGTTTCGTCATGTTCCATGTTTCACATGTGGCTGGCGCTCCGGTGCCAACTTGCCGGGCCCTCGCGGCTGACCCTGGCTCCCGCTCGCAGCGGGGAAGGAGGAGGAGGAGGAGGAGGAGGAGGAGGAGGAGGAGGAGGAGGAGGAGAATGAGGAGGAGGAGGGAGGAGGAGGAGAGGAGGAGGAGGAGGAGGAGGAGGAGGAGGAGTCCCTCCAATGCACCTCAGAGTGACCGTTCGCCGGACCACTGGGATCCCCCGATCGCCCGGTGCGGTGCGGCAGCAGCGGCCTGCGCGCTCGGGTCTAGGCCCCCTCCGCGGCCCCGGCCGGCCGCGCACCACAAAGGCCACGTGCTGCCCAGGGCATCTTCCTCCTCCTCCTCCTCCTCCTCCTCCTTCCTCCTCCCCTCCTCCTCCTCCTCCTCCTCCTCCTTCCTCCTCCTCCTCCTCCTCCTCCCTCCTCCCTCCTCCTCCTCCTCTCCTCCTCCTCCTCCCTCCTCCTCCTCCTCCTCCTCCTCCTCCTCCTCCTCCTCCTCCCTGGTTTCCATGCGCCCGCGCACAGCCGACGGGTAGGGCGGGGAGGGGCCCAGCCTCCTCTGCGCTCTGCCCCACAGACGTCGCTGCGGGCGCATGTGTTCCTATTGCCCTTTCCGGCCCCTCTGGATTGGCATCGCTGGGATGTTTGCACGGTTTCCTCGGCGAGGACCCTCGGGGAGCATCTTGACAAGCCATCCTTCGAAACATACGCGCACGGAAGCGAAACGTGCACGGGGAATGGGCGTCCGAGCGATGGAGAGTGGGACGGGGGCCGTCAGAGAAAACGGCTCGGGATGAGATCCGACGACGGCATCTTCTATACACCACCACCGTGCCAGGCCAGGGCCATCCTAGGCCCCAGGATGGTGTATAGACCCTCTTGGCCTCGGCAAGGAGGGTGTATACACCATCCTGGGGCCCAGGATGGCCCTGCCTTGACACGGTGGTGGTGTATAGATGCCTTCTGCGAATGAGAAGCTGGCCCCCGGGGGCGGGGGGGGCAGTGGTCTATAGAACCCTCTGGGCGTCCACGCCGTGAACAAGAACCAGCACGGCGTCGAGGGTCCGCGGGGTGGGAGCCGGGAGAAGAGGGAGGAGGAGGAGGAGGAGGAGGAGGAGGAGGAGGAGGAGG